TACCTCACAGTCAAACAGCAGGTGTAGCTGCCCGTCGATCCACTCCTCAATATCCAGCCTCCTCTGCAGGTCCTTGCGGTTGTACTTGACTGTCAGCTTACCCAGCTTACGGTGTGCCGAGTCTTCCGTCTTGTCCGGCGCCTGAAACATCACCCTGGACTGGGTGCCTGGCTCTGTCGCCATGGCTGCCACGGCCTCCAGAGAACCGTGGATAACACAGACAGAGCCACAGGCTGTGACGCACTCTACACAAACTGGCTCCCCTCTCCTATATGTTGAAAGCTCTTTTTCTGATGGGCTGCTCTGCCCACACGCTGCTCCTCTTTTCTTCTATCTCTTTAATGCCGGTACAGGTTCCCTGCCTGTCCTGGTCCTCTCTCTCGCTCATTCTCTCTGAAGCTCGCTCTCTTGCTCTCTTTCCCTCTTTCCCTCCACCTCCTCCTATTGCAACACCCACTGGCTGCACTATCAGGAGGATGGTAATGAGATATGACTCCATATGTGTGCGTGTGTGTGGGTGTGTGCGTGCACTTTCCAGGGTGTGTAATTGCTTTTTTGTTCTCTTCTTTTTTTTCTTGTGGCAGGTAGAAGAGCATAGTTCAATTGCAGCAATAAAAAAAGGGAAGAAAAGTTGAAAGGGCAATCATCTAGGGATGATCGGATTGGCTGAATATATGTGTATTCATGTGACATAAAAAGTACAGTAATAATTTGTTTTTTCTCGTTTTCACAGGTAATTGCACATAAAACAAACAACGCATTCCAATACATCCCTTACTGAATTATCAAGTAATTGCTGCCTTAAGAATGAAAAGTAGAAGGTTCATCCACATAAAGTCTTATGTAAGTATTAAGTATTTTCCATCTTGTATATTTCTTCATGTTTTGCTTCTTTGTAACCCTAAAATGTTTCAGCTATCACAGTTAGATTCAAGTCACTACTTAGACTTTTCCATGTCAAAAGTTTTTTGAAACTTTGATTCAGACATGGATTTGCTGATTTTCCAGAACCGTTAGCTTAACATCACAAAGTAATGCCTGGACGTTTACTCTTGGAATTTTCTGCCACAAACCAGAATTCATTGTTTCATCAACAATAGCAAATCTTCCAGGTCCTGAAGAAGCTAAGCAGTCCCAGACCATCGAACTACCACCATAGTTGTCACCTGGTATTCACTTTTAAATTTCCAAAAGAATGATTATTTTTTTGTCTCACCAGCTCACAGAATATTTCCCCAAAAGTCTTTGGGATCATCAAGGTGTGACTTTGGGAACTGGGAGACAGGAGTTTGAGTCCTCTTTTAGTCAAAAGTGGTTTTCGCCCTGAAACTTTGTTTCAGTTGTTTTTAATTGATGTTGTTTATGCCCATTTGCATGGACACCTTCACTGAAGCAAATAAGACCTGCAGTGCTTTAGGTTTATTGAGTCTTCTTGTTGGAGCAGTTGGTAATTTTGGTGGCCCAGCCACTCCTGAGAAAATTCCCTTCCCATTTGTGAACACAAGCCCTGAAAAAGGCTTGCTAGAGTTCCAAATCCTTAGAAATGGCATTATACCTTTTTCCAGACTGGCAAGTGTCAGTAATCTTTTTCAATAATCCCTTTCTTTCAATCATGCCAAGATGTGTTTCCTGACTGTAAAACAGCTTCAGAATATCCAAAAAGCAGCTGCAAGAGTTCTGACTTGAACCAGGAAATATAACTGTTTTAGTACAATCCTCAGGTCTCTTCACTGACTTTCTGAATACACTTTAAAACAACTTTGCTTGTGTATATTTATGGTATAGAACAAAATACATCTCCGAACTTCAGGTAGCTAGAGTCAATCACAGCGAGACTGCGCTTCAATATTATATTCCTAAAATCTGGAACAGTCTTCCTGATGAGGTGAGGCATGGCGAGACTCTGACAATGTTTAAATCCAGACTGAAAAAGGTTATTTTAGCTGTGCATATAAAAACTGGCAGTATTTCATCTACATTTTCTTTCTCTAATTTAAGTGGTCAATGACATTACATTTGTTTTTCATTTGTTTAAATTATGCTTTTTAGTATTTGTTTTTAAACTTTTGATTTTGCTGTAAAGCACTTTCAATTGTCCTGTACACTAAATGTGCTATACAAATGGTTAATTCATTCTTAAACACAGGACACAATTTTTTTTTCTCAGTCAGATTGGAAATCTTTCTTCCCTTTATAAATGAAAACTTTTTCACAGCACTGTTTCTAACAATAGTCAGGTCCCTCCCTGACAGGTGAGCCAGGGTTCCTCTACTACGGAGGTTTCTTTGTCCTGCATATGACAGCCATTATCAGGTGTACGTTTAATAAGGCTTGAAGTCAAATTGGCATCCTCAGTTACCCACTCTTACATAATGCATGGGGAATAGTTAGGTACTCATGGGTGCCAAATTAGAGCCAAATGTCAAAGCCAGTTCCTGAAATCAACATTGTAAAGTCAAAGGAGTGCACAACTGCAGGGTCAAACATCTACCTGCAAAGAGTTAGTGCACAAGAGATAAGGCAGATAAGAGGCACCAGAAAGTCCTTAGATCACATAGCAACATGAATAATGGGTATTTGGGCTTTTTTGAGTATCCATCATTCATAGCTGCTGGTGTTCACTCTCTGATGCACCGTCTGTTACAAACACTGAATTATTAAGTGCTTGTTGCGACTCACCTTTCCAAGCAAACACATCCATTAATCCCTTACTGTTTTTTTTTTTTATCTGCATGGGCAGGCTGATTAAAATAAAACACTAGAAGAGACCCATACTATACCTTCTCCACTCATACCTGGCTGGATGGCTCATTACAGTGAGAAAAAAATCAAAAAGCAGTTAAAGTCAACAAGCTGCCTCACTGTGTGGCTAAAGTGGGTAGACTTTCACCGTCAAAGCCCAGTTAAGTCCATGCATATCACATTTGAGTTTGCTCTGACTTAGTTTAGCTATTACTAGGAATTAAAGTCTTTGAAACAGGAAATCTATATTTCATAAAGTAGGCCAGCCTTTATGGTTACAAATGTTGCAGCGGTAAACAGTTGAAGCTCTGCAACTGCTTACATGTGGCTACATGACTCATCTCATACCATAGATTGGTGACTAATTTCATGAGCAAGCTCAGTATCACCACACTTATCAAAGCAGGGTCAGAAGTAATGGGAATATAAATTATACAACAATAACTGCATTGAATTTCAAACAGGATTAGCAAAAAAAGCAGCTTTTCCAAATAAACAAGTTGTTTACCCTTAAAAATGTCTTTAGCGCTTGATGGAATAACACTGCCACCTGCTGGATAAAGGACGGAAAACCTGAAAGGTCCAATCAGATTAAATGGATAAAGAAAGGGGTTTACATTGTAAAACACACTCAGCCAATTTATTAAAGCTCTGTGACATGGTGAATGAAAACATACATCAGAAGATGGCCACACTGTGGGTGTAGAAGAGATGAATAGAGTTTAAACTTAACAAGTTGTCTTCAATACTTATAGCTGCATTTTACTGTATTGTGATGAGCTGAATACTAGTTTTGTTAACAAGCAACTGAACAGCTATTTCTAAAATAATAAAAGTCATAAAAAGTGAGTTTGTATGGCAATTATAAAGTTTTTAAAGCATATGCATAAAATCCATAAGTTTTTGTTTCTCTGGGGTAAATTTATGGTTAGACACAGAGACATGTTTAGTCACCCTTCAAGATGTCCATATACGTTGTAAGGCTACACATTAAACACACTGCTTTTTTGTTTGACACAATGGGAAAGTCAAAAGAAATAATCCAAGATATCATGAAGAGAATTGTGCCTGTAATTCAGTGACATCACAGTGAAACGTAACCTGTACTTCAAGAGATGTCGTGTGGTCTGATGAAACTGAAGTGAAACTGCTTGGCCATACTGACCATGGTAACATGGAGGGAAAAATGGGGATCCTTGTACCACCGTAACTGTGAATGATGAGGATGGCAGCATTCATACAGTAAATTTCAGACACCTTATGGTGAAAACTTCAACTAAAATAGATGACACATTTAAGGTCTGCTACATATGGGTTCAGAATTCTTTAATAATTGCTTTTACGTTCAGTTTTCAAGAGGTGCAATATAGGTCGATGGAAAAACAATAGGCTTTTATGACATGCAACCTGCCTTTAACAAAGTGTAAGTTGATATACTTTAAAGAGCTCCTCTCTGTTATATACAAACACCAGCTAGGCTTCTTTGTATTTTTGAATGATTCATACAGAGCTGGCCTTTGTGGCTGAATAGAGACTGCTGATTTCCTGTTTTTGCTCAAACTGATGTGGTGGTCGTTAAGCTAAACACATCATTTTCAGTTTCTTAACACCACTGAGCATGTCTTCATCTCAGAGTGCATTTACAAACTGTAATATGGCTTTTTGTGTTGCTTATGGAGTAACAGCTTCTTTCTTTCTGAATGGACTTGGAGTCCAGGACTTTATTCATTGTTCCTCTCTGGGACAAAGAACCTATGTCCTTCCTGAGCAGTGGCAGGAACAGTGATGTTTACACTCGCATATAATTGTTGAAACTGATTAATTAATTGGTTAATTAATACTGTTGGCCATTTTGAAGTTATACCGAAGGACGAACCAGATGTGGTGAAGTTTACAGGTCCTTGTCTGATTTGTTTTCATTTTTCATGATGTCATACAAGAAAGCAGAGTTTAGGTGTTACCTTAAATAGTATATAAACAGGTGTGCCTCCATTCAACTCAAATGTGATTTAACTCAACAGAGGCCATGACATACCCATTCATGAAATAATTTTAGTATGAATTTGAATAAAGTACTAAAAATAACTAATAACTTGTATCAACATTTCACTGGTTCCATTTTTTCCCCGACTGCCTTGTTTACCAAATAATGGGGGTGGAACAGGAAAAACACAGGTGTTGGTCAGTCGCTGTTTCCCTTGCACTCACCTTCTGGTTGTGCCTGCTTCAGTCAGAAGGGAGTGGCATCGGGAGTGGAATTTCACTTCCTGTTGTTTCTCAGGTGAGTCACCTGAGAAATGTTGTCAGTGCTCGGGTTTGTGTCGACATCAGAGTTTCATGAGTGCTTGTTTCGTTTCCTTTTTTCTTTTTTTTCTTTTTTTTTGATTCTGTAGAGGCGCTAAAGACACCTGTATTTGACAACCAGGAAGTAATTCTTTTGTCACTTTCGTGAGGACTGCGTCCCGCTCCTTGTACGGACATAACCCTCCTCTTTTAAATACGACTGACACTCTTTTTTTTTTTTTTTTTTTTTGTTTCTTCTTCTTCTTCTCAATTTGACTTCAGATTTCTTTCGCACAACTTCTGCTGTTCACTGAGTGGGGAATCTCGAGGAGATTAGAATGGATTTACTTTTAGGACGCCACTTCGCAGCGCTCTTGTTTATCGTGGGCTCTTTGCGCCTCACCGCTGGCCAAAGCACCGCCGACACCTGCCTGTCCAAATTCGAGAACGGCAAAGACGACTTCATGCTCAACGCCAATGAGTCGGTGAACGAAGGGGCCACGTTTCTCTCCTCGCCGAGAGTGGGGAGTTACAAGGACTGCGTTGCGTCCTGCTGTAAGGACCCGAGGTGCAACGTCGCTCTGATGGAGAAACAAGGCGACAGCGCCATCAAGTCCTGCTTTTTGTTTGACTGCTTATACAACAAGAAATACGCCTGCCGCTTTGTCAAGAAGTCAGGATATTTCAGTTACATCCTGAACTCTCTCTATAAAGAGTACATCAAGCACGATGCTGCCCCAGGTGAGTGTGACCCTCCGACAAATACAAGCGAAATACTTTGGAACTGGGACGTGTTTTGATGACCGACTTTTGCCATATTAAACCAGTTGTTAGAGTTTAGATGAGTATATACATAATTACATTCTCATGTATAGCCGTAGTGCAAAAAACATCACCTGCAAAGAAAGCTGAAGCAGTTATCAGATGGTTTTTGTGTTAAGCAACCATCTTGTGGAGATGCTGCACTGAACAGGAACACGTAATTATTCACCCAGCCATCGGCCCAGAGCTACGGCAAAAATCTGATTTAATTATTGAGTTATTTTTAATTGAATGGAAGTAGCAAATTTACTGCATTGTGAACAGGAGTGACGTCAGGGGGCGAAGTACGTCATGCAAGGCAAGAGGAGGTGTGGAGGGTTTCTGAATATTCAGAATGTTTGTGCGTTTCAGTTTTATTTTATTATTATAGTAACTACAAAAAATCTTTTTTTTTCGTGAGTGTTGAAAGTCTAATTATCCAGATGTCACATGGCGAAGCATGCATTTTACAAGCAAAAGGTGGACACATTATGTTTTCTTTTATTTTTTAAAAGTTTGTTATTATATGACATATATTTGAATTAATGTTTTTATTTTAAAAAGAAGAAGAAAAGTTTGGTTGTCATTTTTTGGATGTCCCATTATTTTCAGTCTGACATCCTGGTCTGCTAAAATTGCTTTTAAGGGGTGCTACCCAAATTTGCATAACTTATGTCAGATGTGCCCTGAACAAGTTTTCCTTGTATTTATGCATGTGCAGTGATATAGGTTTTCTGTGTGTATTTCATTAGGAAATTTTTATCTATTGTGAGATGACAATGCATAAAAAGGCATTTTTCTTTCACTCATCCAAATTCTACATTGTCCCACTTTAGTATAAATTTGGAGAAAAATCAGGATAGGAAATATTGCTTTCAAAAGACTTGAAGAACTACTGTTTCTGTCTAAGTCAAAATAACACTGAAGAAAATACAAAATATTTCCACTCTCCAAACTAGAATAGCTCCTTTTTCTTCCATCTGTTTGTAATGAGGATGACAGATTTAGATCAGAAAGTCTCAGTTTTTCATGTTCACACATGTCTGGAACTGGAACTGAGAAGTTGCTGAGAATGTCATGCTCTTTTTTTTCCTCTGCTTATTCATAATTGTTTCCTGGTGATCCAGCTGGCATTCTGTGTCATCCTTATCATCTTTAATTATGTATTTCATGTCCAAGCTGAAAAAAAGGACACTCCGCCAGTGGCCATTGCAGGTTATGACATAGTGGCCCAGCCTAAAGAGATTGTGAAACTGAGCGGCTTCCAGAGCAGAGATGAAGATCCACAGTCTTTAACCTTCAAATGGACCATGGTTACCATTTACCCATATGCAATCATTGAGGTGAGAAAAGCAACTTTGCAAAATGTCCCCCATACCTTATTTTAGCAACACCATAATTGAGTAACTCAGTATTGTCCTTTTTATTTTTGCAGAAGTCACATTTTCCTGATGAGATCACTGTGTCCAATCTAACTTCTGGAAAGTACATGTTTAACCTGACAGTCACGGACTCTGCTGGTCAGTCAGACAGCACTACGATCAACGTCCGGGTCCTGACCCCTGACGAGTCCGAGCGTGAGTGTCTCCTCTTTATTCCAAGTCAATAAAACAGGTTGCTGTTTCTTTTTTTCTTTTTTTTTCTCTCCTTTGACAATTTTGTAACTGTAGTTTGCTTGATTTGTATCCAGGTAGGATATGCAACTCTTTAATATAACAAAAGATACATTTTTAGAAAGTACTATCCATTTAACTTATGGGTGACATTTAAATATTTTTATTTATCTTTAATATGTGTGAATGTATTTAATGGCAAAGAAAATACATTAATATACAGAGTTTTAGGTAAGTCATTATGATTTGGAAGTAGTAATGAATAGAAATGTAAGTTGCAGATACAAAATGAGACTATGAATTGACAGAAAGGAACAGAAAGAAAAGGTATTATACACGTTATTGTTTCATGTTATTATTTATATGTAAATTCAGACAGTGTTCTTGCCAGTTTTCACCCTCACCATTTTGTACTTTTGTATTTAAGATCATTTTGTGTGTGATTGCCAAAGGGTGTTTGTCCTGACCTCAGACATTTCAGATATGCCTTGTGGATGTTTCATATCCACATTTAATGTCATGTGGTTCCCTTATGCCTACCGAAGTCTTCACATATAGCTCATTTAACCCACTATATCCTTAAAAACAAGCCGTGTTCAATTAAGATATTGTAAAATGTTTAATTCTTAAATTATGCTTAAATCATTTGTAAATTAAGCATTTTCTGTTGGAAAAAAAGTGTGTCATCAGTGTGTGAAGGTGCACGGGAATGACTGAGAGGTCTTCTGAACTAAATAAATGTGATACAAGTGCAAGCCATTTACCATAAATATGCAGAAAAACACATTAAATAGGCCAATCCAGAGAAAAAATTCAATAGCACAAACGTGCTTAAAAAAAAAGAGGAAATTATGAAATAATTTCAGAATAGTGATAAAATGGGAACAAGAGCTTAGGAAATGTAGTTACTACCGTAATAAGCAAACAGGTGATCATCACTGACGTCTTGGGAGGAGGACACAATTTAGAGTATGTTTAAGGAACTAACCTCCAAGGTTTCGCTTGATGTTAGTTGACTATCAGCCTGTCTTCCCTCACTTTTTATGTTGAAATCTCTGTGGCACATCTAAACTATTATTTCTCAACCTTTTCTACTTGGATTTTTTATGCTTTTTTTTTTAGGCATAACTTTTGTTGTTTGTGCCAAGATAGAAGGATAATTTCCTGTCAGCTTGATTTTTCAGTTTTTCTGGTTCTTCGCATGTTTCTGTGAGCTGACGGATCCCATGTTAGTTGGAACCAAACGAGTTGAGACATGCTCACATACAATAAGGAAGCAGAGATAAGAACTTGACTGGTTAGATAATTACACAGTAAACTGACATTGTACAGGAAATAAAATGCATCAGCTGATGTAGGATCCCACCTTTAGCATGGAATAACTGAATAATCCAGATTATTTCTTTTGAAATGGGTTCCCATGAGAAAATAGAATGCTGTGTTACATTCAGTGGTTTTATTTTTGTTTTTTGTTTTTTTAACTACTCCTCTGATACCATCTCTCCACCCCCAACTCACCAAAACTTGTCTGTCTGGTTTCAGGTCGGTGCACAAGACTTTTATCATTGTTGCTGCGTGAAGTGAATAAAAGTGAACAGGAGTCTTAACTCTCAAAATTCTATTGACTTTATAAGTACTAGAAATATCCCACCCACACTGAAGCTCAGTTACCTATTAATAGTTTTTCAGTCGCTTAGTAAAAAATCTTTATTATTTAAATTAGTTTTTGTGGTGACATTTCTCTGAAATATGTTACAAAGTTGCTCTTCAGATGAATGCTGACGCAGAGAATGTATCATTAACACAATAAGATTACCCAAAATCTGCTTTCCCAACATTCTTTTGTTTTCAGGACACACCACTTCATGATTTTTTTTTTTTTACTTTAGTGCGTGTCTAGCAGTTACATAATACTAAAATGGGAACTTGGTAGAAACTTGGAAGGAAATGACCCCCATGTCTGGTACCTTGTTCTAGAAATATATGGGTTAATCACATTTGCCTAACCACTTGCCTTTTCATTTTCCTTTCCCTGACAATGTGACATTAGGGAACAAAAAACTAAACTCAGGCAAACCTCTACAAATCAGAATAGCCTCTAAAAGTGCAATTATTCTGCCGATTGGATTGATGCACACACAGTCACCTAACCACCCATGTTCCATAGAAAATGAATGGGATATTCTAAGTTAACAAAATTTGTACGTTTATTTTATTATTATTTTAATCTTTTTATCACTATTTGGAGTTGCATCCTGGTTTTTACTGAACTACTTCAGTTCAGTGACAATAATGGCTTTCATCCATTCAATCTTTTATTTATGTCAAAATCAGGTTGAGGTCCTCGTTTTCTGGTTCTGCTGGAAAGGAAATTGATCGCATATGCCTTGTGAATTTCCTCAAAACCTGTGAAATAGGACTTATTCCTGTTGCTTATGCACACTTTTTACAATGCCTTTTCCTTCCACACTTCTTTGCATTGGAATGCTGGGCCATCTTCTTTAACATTGTGACTTAGTCTCCTTTTAGAGGGAGTGGCTGTCTGCTGCACAACTCTCAAGACAATAGTTCTCTCCATAATTAAAAGACATATTAAATTGTCCATTGCATAAATTATATATTAATAATAATTTAAATATTTTCTTAAAGACAGAATTTTGGGTTCTTATTCCTCGTGAGAAACATAATTTACAGAAATATTTTACTGAATGTTAATGTTAGTCAGAGGTTTCACTTTGATATAAATTACAAAATATTCAGTTTTTGCTTTTTATAATATATTTTTTATAATATTCTAGTTTGCTTCATAAACTCAAGAACTTGTTTACAAAGTTCTTGAGTTTATGAGTAAAATTTGATGATTAGATGTTTCATGAAGTTTGTCAACATGTGTGTGTTTTAGTCTTGATCCTAAGTCTTTATATGTTGTCCTTCCAGACCATTGCATGGTTCCAAAGAAAGTTGGTCCGTGCCGTGGTTCATTCAAACGCTGGCATTACAACGCTGCCTCAGAGAAATGTGAGGAGTTCATCTTTGGGGGTTGCCTGGAGAATAAGAACAACTACATTAGGGAGGAGGAATGCCATAAAGCCTGTCATGGCACAGGTAGTTGTTTTTTTTTTCTTTGTAAATCAGCTTTTTCCCTATTAAAAAGCTGATTACTTGGGAATATAATAACTAAGTCATAGGTTTCTTAATTGCAAGTCCTTGTCGGTTGCATTTATGACCATGAATATAGCAATTTTATTTATTTAACAGGTTCAAGGTATTGTGAGAGCTTCGCGAGTTAAAAATGGTAACCAGTCACAAGTAAATATTAATGCTTGAAGTAATCTTTTTGCTCAGATGAAGAGATTTGCAGCTTCATGGGGGCAAACCACTTCCTGATTGAAGGAAGATCAACTGTTTCTTGAGCCAAGAAACAGTTGATCTTTGCTGAATATAAAATTGGATGTCAGAAGATGATTAAATTGTCTAAAATATTATGGAATGCTTTTTTTTTTTTTTTACTCTGATACAAACTAGGGTAACCAATAGCCTTCGTGAGTCATTTAATTATAATAATCTCAGTGCAAATAGCATATTTTAGTGACTTGAACTCACCAGATCTGAACTTTCAATTGTAAGGACTGTTGTTCTTCAAAGGTTCAGTATGTAACTTTTACAAATAAATATTTGTCAAAACTGTCACCATATCACAGTATGTTAGGAGACAGATAAGCTGTGAAAAGATTGATTTCCACCCCCTCCTCCATGACTATCTGGAGAAATTCACTGTTCCCAAGTCATTTTGGCCAAGAACAACCAATCAGAGCCAGGAGGACAGTCTTATTATTGTCAATCAACAAACTGTACTCAAAGCTAAATGTGCTAATCATGGAAAAACAGCATGTCATTTGTGGAAAACTATTATCTGCTGTCATCAGCGGCCAGTTTCAACAAATACGTAAAATAATTTATTTTTAATAGAAGTTGTAAAGTCCAGCTTTAAGGTCTCTTAAAGTGCATTTTGTTTTGACTTTTTAGACTAACCAAAACAACCCATTTCATCTGCAACCTCTTATTTCATGTAGACAGACATTGAATACCCTATGTTTCTCTAAATACCTGCACAAGAATGACTCTCAATGTTTGCTAAGCAGAGTTATTGTTTGCAGGAAGCAATAATTTTCCTTTGGTTTTCTTTGTTTTTGATAAAGGTCGTCAATCTGGGCGAGGTCTGCCTGTTGAAGGTAAAAACTAGCACTTTATTTTAGGAAGATATTTTGATAAAGAAGAAATATAAATGCACAATTAGACATTTTAATATTCATAGAAAGTTTTTATCTGCGTGGTCAACAAATGCCTTTAAGTTAATTAGTTTTTTGCCTTCAATTGTAACAGAGCATGGCCCACCTGATTATTATCTGTGTGTTTGTGCCACAGGAGAAATTTGTGAAGCTCCATGTACCGCTGATCAATTTAAGTGCGATAATGATTGCTGTGTGGATAGAGGACTGAAGTGCGACGAAACGCCACAATGCTCGGATGGATCAGACGAGAAAAACTGCAATGACTGTATGAGCTTGCCATGCAAACCACACCTAGTTCTCATTTGACTAATTTAATTAAATGCTTTGATTACAACATGTTTTAGATGCCATATTAGAATTCTTGTTAACTTTAATTATGTCCTCTCTGTTTATCAGTTAAAAGCAACTTCAAGATTCTGTTGGACCTTAAGTTGGCTGGAAAGAGAGGTGGTTTGAATTTTCCACTCCCTGTTGATTTCTGCCTTCTAATTCACGTCCCTTCCTTCTTCCTGAATATACTCTTCATTTGTCACAGATACATTCTTTAGTTATCTGTTTTGAAATTATAGACTTGATCATTTTTATAATTTTTTTTTAAATTACAGCGTATTGTACTGAAGAGCCAGAGACAGGAACTTGCAGGGAGAGCTATACAAAGTGGTACTATGATCCCCGGACACAGAGTTGCAGCCTCTTCAATTACGGAGGCTGTGAAGGAAACGAGAACAGATTTGAATCTGAAGAACAATGTTTGGCAGAATGTCAAGGTGTGACAGGTGAGTGTGTTTTTATTTGAAGTTGGATTGCACGCCATTTATTCATGACTCAAAGAATCACTCTGCAAAACTATGTTATTTCTGCTTCTTTGGACCTTTGATTTGTTATCATGTGCTTTTATTAATCAACCAATGTGGAATATATTCAAGTTTCGACATTGCTTTGTCTATTTTTAGAATGTGTCATGCATATGTCTTTTCTTTTATTACAGAAAATGATATATTTGACAAAGGGAGCAAAGCTGAGAAACAAGATACTGATTCCAATTCAGGTAAGCAGCCTCTTTTTTTTTCCTTGATGGCATTAAACTAGGTTATCGTATAGAAGACATATTACTGGAATGATTTACCTGGATTTATAATTAATGTGTTGAACCACAAAGTCTTTAGTATTTCTTATGTTTTATATTTCCCCTCTACAAGGGAGATTAAATGCAGGAAGCTTTGCAGTACTTTGACATATTTTGTTTAAAACAAGGAGAATAACAAATGACTTGAAATGACTTTAGTTCAGTTAGTTTATATAGTTTCACACTTAACAAGGTCAGTCATATCCACATATGTAAAATCCCATTTGGTTTGAAATGATTTCAGAATAGTCTGGTTTATTCCAGAACAGACCTAATGACATAGAGTCTTGTTTATTTTGTAATTATTATACCCTGCATTCAGATAATTAATCAATCTTGTCTCAAAATTAGAAAATGTTGCCACATCATATGGCAAAAGTGGAGTGAAAACCCTTTTAGACCTGGAGCAAACCTCCATCAGAACTAGAGAGGCCATCAGCTTCAACTGACTGGAGGGAAAACAAAAACATTATCACTTAGTCTTTCACACAATTTGTGGTAAAGAGTATGGAAGATATGAAAGTAGTAACTCCTTCAGTAGCTTAATCCAGGAAAAGAAATAAACTCACCTTCAGACAGAAATAAAAAAAATGTACAAGAAATCCTAAGGTACACTCACAAGCCACTTTATTAAGTATAATTTGCTTGCAGATTTTGGTCCGTCCTGACATGACCTCATCAAACAGTTGCTACAAATTAGTCCATGGTGAGAATCTTGTTCCACCAAATCCCAAAAGTGCTCATGTAAAAGTGCTTTCTCCAAGTGAGATGAAGAAGTCAGTTTAAAATGATTAATTTTTTACCTGTGATTTGAATTCTCTCTGTCTTAACTATGAAAATGGGTTTCAGTATTTCTGTCAAAGGTCAAAGTTTACTCAGCTCAATTTTCCAGTTCATCAAGTTGCATTGAGTAACCATATGTTGATCTGGTTTAACCAAAATGTTTGTCATTATTGGACAGCTGTCGTTGCCATTGCTATTGTCCTGGGTATCGCCATCGCCATTGTCGTTGCCATCCTGGGGTACTGCTGGCTGAAGAACAGACAGCCCAGACACACCCTGGTGTCTACTAGCAGCAAACCTCTGTGAAACCATCTTACTCTCATCTAAATGCATTATCACAAAGACTGTATTTGGAAGAGCAGGAAGACTTGTTTTTTCTTCTAATTAAGTCTATATGTGAATATGTTTTGAAGAGGATCCAAACAAAAAGCAGAAAGTCTTTGGTGAAATGTGAAGTGTTGCTTTAAGTGCTGCATGCTACTGGAATAAATTGGCATAGGAATCTGTGAGATGAGGTTAAATGGGAAAGATTGATTAGAACATCATGGCAGAGCATCAGAGGAAACCCTCCCTTTAGAATAGAATAGTTTTCCTTCTTTCATTTTGTATCATTTTTAATTGAACAACTTTTACTGTTTATTGTACAGTTGAAAGCAAAACTCCTGTCTTTCAACCAAACCCACGACATCTCGTTTATATGTACACTTTTGACATGAATGTTTTGTTTCCTGCAATTTTCTTACTTTAATCTTATTTTACACATTGTTGTTACATTCCATTGAATTTCACCACCATGCAAACTGTTGTACATAGTCTTGGGTTTCAAAAATGTTTTTCTTAGAAGTACTTTTATCAATTTTTCTTATAGGTTTTAGTTTTTTTTTTAAATAAGATTTATGTTTAACTTTACTATTAAATATTTTAATTGTCTGATAAATTTGTAAATATAATTTGATGCAGACTTCTTTAGCTTTCCTTTTGTCATGATCATTGTCGTAAATAAAAAAAAGTTCTAAACCAAATGAATTACTTTTGAAATGATTTTTAGAAATATGTATCTTTTTCAGTTGCCATTTTTGCTTTAAGGCCTTGACTTTTTATTTTATTTTAATCACTGTTCTGACCTGGGTAATTAAGGTTAGTGACAGCAGATCACTGACACCTCAGGAGTCTATTGTCACTGATGTTTGGGGACCCAAATTTTGCAAAAATATATTATGAAAAACCATTTTATGTAGGAATCTATAAAAAGATGATCATTCACATATATTAAAGACCAAAAAAACCAGTCTAACTGCTCAAGTTATTTTCACAATTGGAACCTCTTCACAAAACGTTTGAAGTAAAATCCCCTTAAGAATTCCAATAAATGTTGGTTTTCTCTTCCAACATTTTCACTGAGCTTTTTTCATTTCAAAGAAATTGGTTATAGATCAATATTATAGCTTTCAGTAAAACAAAAATAAGAGTCATTTACACCAGTGTAGTTTCTGACAGGCAGTTACTCTGACTGAAATTGCTTTTAGTAAGTTTTTAGTACATCTTAGCTGATCGGATCTTTGATAGTGCAGCATTTCTCCCTCTATTTTCTTTTTTTCCTACTTCTGTTAAAAAAAAGTCCCTTATACTAATCTTCCAACAGATGAATGGTTGATTTTTATTATTATTATTATTATTAGAGTTCACATAAACTGGTCTGACATTTTGAGATTGGAATTGAAGTACACGTTCACTGTGGACTTCTGAAACCAACTGACCTGGATTTATACTAAATGTAGACACCAAGTTATCTGCTGCTCATGGGATATATCAAATTTTTTGCAGAACCTCCACTTTAAAATTTGAGCTATCCCTTTAAACGCTTTCTATAAGTCATTCTACGGAATGATAAGCTGTTGCCTTTAATGGAAAACATTTTCAAGTAGTTGTTGGATTGTTTACTTAAGGTAGGCACTTTACTATACACATTGATCAAAAATAGAAACATTATATGCACGAGCAAGAGACTATTTACACTATAATACAAGAATAACATAATTTCCAACACTAATAAGTAATTATGTGATATGAGTGCACTTTGTATAAATTTCAACACATATGTTGGAAATTCAATAATAACACTACTACTGCAGCTACTAATATTGATACTGATCATAATGATTATTATAGTAATTGCAGAGAGTGATCCATACAGTTATGTTTGTTTCTTTTCTAACAGCACGCAGGCGAAACAAAATATTAAAAAAGTCAGTTCAAACAATTCTTCACCTGACTCACCAGGAGATGGCGACACAGCTCTGTTCAACTTCAACGTGTTTCAGTGTCAAATCTTACGAATCAACACTGTTTCGCCAGTAATGTTTCTCCAGTGCCATGGCTTTTTTCTTTTTCTTTTCTTTTTACTAGAATCATTGCAAGCAAAAGACATAATTCAAAGGATCTAAATAAGGTACCTTCAATACCACAGCGATCCCTTTTGCACCCCCATTAAAAAAAAGAGAGGGTCCATAAATATAATTTGCATAGTCATCTTTTTTGGTGTTGTAGAAATGCTTTCATTGTCCAGCATGTATTTTGCAAACTCTTATTAAAATTAGCAAAATGATGATACTGATAACATGTAGAAACAACAAAACAAACTTCGTAGTGAATTAAAGTATAGCAGTTTACTAAAAAAAGTTTGATCCAGTTTACATCCAGAAATTCAGTCCAATTGTATAGACGTTAAATATTGATTACATACATTCCAATTCCACCCGAGTTATAAAACTATACAGTCAGTTTCAGGATTTTTTTATGCCACCAAGAACAAGTTCTGATGTTTAATTGTGTGTTTAATTTAATTGTGCACCCAAGCAGATGTATTCCATCTGCTTGGATTTGAAAACCACATTAAACCCAATTTAAATGTGTTTAGGTTTCAGGTGTGAGCTTTGGACTCATGCTAACTGGTTTTAGCAATATTATCTAAAAGCAACAGCTTGCATACACAGATTACAAGTTCCCAAACAGTAAATAGTTTTTTTGGATAGAATTAATTGAATTAAAAGTCAATAGATTTTCATTTGTCTTTCTCTGTAATTATTATGTATTATTATTTTAAATGTGTAAATAAAAGCATTGCCTTATTTTATATTATTTTTTAAATTATTATTATTATTATTATTATTATTATTAGAGATTACAATAAAAATGCTGTGTTTATTTACTTATTTTTTTGGCTCCTGTTGTTTTTTTTTCCCCTACTGGTTTCCGATGAGAATTACCAGAAATATGCACCTCGCTATAACAATAACAGCTAATTGCAAAATCAGGTCATTTAGACGCAGAGGTGCTCGGAATAGGAATGTAAACGTTATCTTTCGCAGCTGGAGTCACTCTGACTCATTGCCATGTTTTTCTCCGTCGCAGAGCGCTGTTTGGATATTTCCGGGAGGCAGTGAATGCAGCAGCAGCAGCAGCAGCAGCCGCAAAGGCAGCTCCTTCGCAGTTGTTTAAAGATGCAGCGCTGGTGTGTTTTATATTCGGACCTGCTGTGGGATGTTTGTGTCTGAGAGGCGCGTGTCACGTAAAAAGAATAAGCTGTTGAACTCAGCTGGTTATTTTAGGTAGCAGAGAGACGAGACTTTAACAAGGAGTTATAAGTCGCTGGAAGATAAGAAGTTGGGGTATTCGGTACGTACGCTATACTGACAAACTTTTCCCACTCTCATCTGAATTAACGTTATTGTTTGTTAAACGAGCTGAAATTATGTTTTTGTTTAGGCTCAGCTGCTGTATCGCCACGGTGTTATTTGAACAATACCGTTTCATTCTCTTTCTCTGTTTTTTTTTTTTACTCGTTTGTTTAAACTCGCATGAGCATGTTTTAAAACCATCATGCTGAAAGTCAGCAATACTGATTTATTTTTTATAAGATCAGCATTACAGGTGATCGGAATAAATGCATTTGGATTAGTTTGCAGTTGTAGATTCCGTTTAGACTGTTGAATTTGCCTTTATGATGATGAAGAATCCCTCCTTTGTGGCTGCTTTACTTGAAATCAGACTTTTTGCTTCATATAATTTTATAGCCTCCAAGCTGTGCAGAAGCAGTGCCCTGGAGTTTCAGTCAGATAAGTTCTGTTTGTCTTTCTGACAAAACACTCTCACTTGTATGGACTTTGGACAGATGCTGCAGGGTGTATTTTGTCTTCTTTATTACAGAAGTTAGACAAATCTGAATCCCGGTGCTATTTCCTGCTCTCCTACATCCCACTCCTCCCCCATGGTGCACACACTCTTCCCTTTGCAAACCGTATTATTTCTAATGAGCACCCTATTGAGACAGTCAAATATTAAGCTCACTTTTAGGTCAGAAGCTCTGCCGAACCAGCAGCTGAAGAAGAATGGGGACAAAAATCAATCAATTACTGCTGAAAAGCTCCATCTTGTGCTTCTTTGACCCCATTTGACCTCTCACACAATAACGTCTCAACATCATTTCTTACAAATGTTGCCTGAACAGAGCATTTGAATAGGTGGTCCAGACAGGAAGCCACACAAGTGTGTCTTGGATCTCAGAGTTGGCCTTTGGTTACTTCTTCTTCCACAGTGCTGGAAGACTCTAGCTGTGATAAAATCACCAGCGTTGCAGAGTGTGAGGGCGGTTACTTCAATGGAGACCTTATAATTTTAAAACCTTGCAACAGAGCCTCTTTCTTTGTCTTGAACTTGTTTGGGACAGTTGCAGCAGACCTCTTTAACTATCTGCAGCTTGGGATACTCTGCAGACTTTAAACATAATTTAAAGAAACTACTCAGTGGTGTGTGTTTTATCCGACCATACCAACAACAAAATGGAATAGAAACAGCTGGATATTGCATTGCAGGATTTCACTGAACATTAAGGTTTTAGAGAATGAATAAAAAAAGAAGACAGAAGAATGCTACTAATTCTGTTTTGTGTGCCTTTGGGTTGATGACATCACAAAAGGCACATGAATCGAGCTGATCAGTTGCAATATGTAAACAATAGGACGGAAGACCAATTTTAGAGAGATTTTATGAATTTCAAAGTGTTTGTTTCATTCCAGGTGGTTTTAATTTTTGTCACAAACAGCTTCCATCTTTCGTGTTTTTATTTTATTTTTTACCAGTGTTTTCTGAAGTCTATTTAATATGTACACTAAAAGCAAACACTTTACCATGGCTCAAACATTTTGCAACAACCATACACAATAAGTAAGAACCTTTTTTGTAGGAGGAAGTTGTTGAAAAACAGACGAATAAAGAGGAATAAACAACAACAAAAAAAAATTACACAAAATGACATTCAAGGGAAGTCTGAGTGGCTGTTTGCCTTATGTGATGTAACCAGAGGCATGCAAGTTTTATCCTGGTTGAATAATGATTTACAACAAAGTATCAAAACAAATAAACTAATAATGGCAATTTGTTTTAACTGAAAAGTCTAGAAAGTAGTTTGAACACAACCTTCCAATGTTTATCTGAAATAAGGCATGCAGGAGCTATGTGTCGTTTTACATCCCTGAAACCTTGAAGGTCAAGCTTTAGACAGTTACAAAATAGCTTAGTGCCTTCAAATGTGGTGTGATGTACCTTTAAAGTGGTACACTCCAGTTCTATTTGAAGACATGTTGTCTAATTTTATCCAGCAGTTCTGCCCTCTCCCCTGTCCAAACTGTGCAGGGCTTTAATGGAGGACCTCTTGCCTTCTGGATGTCGACCGCTCATAATTTTAAGGAGTTTGAAATCTTCAGTTGCGACTTGCTCACACAGATGGCATTTTCTAACCCCACGTGCCAGGTATTCGCATTCGTGTTTTTGATCGGATGTTTTTGTAAAAGAGGAAAGTGCTATTTTTTTCCTTGTTCACATCAGTGGGAAACAATTATTCAACCATTAAAGGTTATTTGGGGAGTTGAAATGTAGGTGTGCCATATGGGCTGCATGCCCCCTGGCTGTTCATTTGGCTGAATCACATCTCCCTGGCCTATTTAGAAATGCAGTGGATGAAAATAAGAGGT